TACACAGAGCGGAAACAAAGTCGATTGAAGCATTACAACTAGATAACGGCAAAAACACACATCGATAAAAAAAAACACCTCATTATATATATATGGTGACTTGTCACACACACTGCTTCGCTATGCTGAGCGCTGCCCTCATGTGTGAGAGTGCCCGCCGCCGCGCCTCCACCTCGTTCGCAAGGTGGTCACGCAGTTCCAGACGCACACACTGCGCGTTTTTACTGCGGATGCCTCTCTGTAGCTCTGCAATGGGGTGCGCCAGAGCCTCAATTTGTCTGAAAGCTGTGGCAGACGCCTCCACTGATGAAGTTGTGGTTCCAGATGCCTCGGCAATCTCCACGACTAACCGCATGTACTGCATCCGTATGGCATGCACCAGCTCAAGGAGTTGTGGGACTGATGTCGACGCACACAACTGCGGCGTTTCCGCTGCCTTGGAGACTTCTGCCTTCATCGGATAGAGACGGGCGTCAACGCGGCTCGCCACAGCGATGCGCCGGAGCGTCTCTGGCAGCGTCACTTCTTCCCCTGCCTCTGACATTCTCTGCTACCGGGGGGTGCAGGAGCCTCACCTCGTGGTGGAGCACAAACAACCAGAAAAAAACAGATAGACATAAGACATATTATACACGTATATATGTCAGAGAGCGGAGGGAAAGGAAAATAAAAAAAAAAATTAATGGAAATGCTCCGTCCCCCGCTCCCTCCCCAAGAGAAGGAAGGACAGACAATGAGGCAAGTGATGCTTTAAAGCTCAGATGGACACGGTGCAGAATCAAGCCGCACACACCCAAGGTTTCTCTGCCTCCGTGCAGACTCAAAACATAAATAAAAATACATGGCATCGCTATTTTTACCTTCCTCACATTCCCTCTTCTTCTTAGGGGGTGGATTCTCTAGGAACCTGTGAATATCCACTTTAGATGCTGCAGCAGAGTCCAATTGGCCCGCCCCTCCTGATTCCGTTTGAGTCTCCTCTGTATTGACTCAAGGATCCCCATCTTCTGTATGCCCTCGTTTCCCAACAGAACCAACCTTCGAATGCACTTGTTGTATTTAATTGCCTTCTTGAGCGCCTCAGCGCCGTCGTCTGTGATATTGTTGAATGAAAGGTCAATGTGTTCTAAATAACACACATGACGGAGAGCGCGGCGCTTACGCAAAATACGGGCGAGAACCTTTGCGTCCTGGTCCCCCAGACAACAATGATGGCATATAAGCTGTGTGACCTGGAAGCGCCCACCTCCCGGCATCCAGAGCAGCGGCGTCACATAGGCGAGGGCGAGACTGCGCAGGGCCATCTCCTGTAGTTTGGCCTGCTTTATTTTGTGTCTGCCATGTCTTTCATCAGGAAACTGACAGAAACCTTCACTGTGCCTCAGAATCGGGTCGCCATGGGCGTCAAAATGGAATAGAGGCTCGTGGAGGCCGACAGCACCTAACACGGTGTGGTTTAGGTCCACGGTGGCAATGCATGCAGTGTCTATCCGCGTTGGGTTCGTGCGACTCAAGAGAACGTGCGACACCAACTGAAGCATGAGCTGCGACGACCTCACGTGGGAGGCGTCACAGAGCGAGCCACGCATGCGAGAGGCCACGGTGTCCGCTGCATACGGCGCCGACGACGCTGACGTCCTGATGGTGTGCTCTGGTTGACCAGTCAGCCCCTCCAGTAGCGCTCGCTTTGTGTCCACTTCCCCCTCGTTGAGGAAAAACTCCAGACCTTCTTTGCGACGCATGAAAACGTCGTAGGCCTTGCCTTTAATAGGAGCTGCGCCGTGTGTACGGGTTTCTTGGAGCGGCAGCGGCAGCGGCAGCCGGGTGTAGGCTGGCGGCACAAAGGCATCAACACGGTCGTGAATACTCTCCGCCGACCTCAGGCTGTAGGCCATAGACTCGCGGCCCCCGTCATACTTCCACACCACTGACATGTCATCACCACGACGGTGCGCCGCCTCCTCCCTGTTGCGAGAAAACAGGCAGCAGAGATGCAGGGCAGCACCGTCACGACTACACCCCTTCCTCCCCTCCCCGCCGCTCCCCACTACTCTCACTGTCGGCACCAAACCCAACAACACATTTAAAAAATAAAAATAAATAAATAAAGTACTGCGACTGTGGGACACCGTTTTTTTTTCGTTGTTGCGGTTTAGTTTTCTGCCAAGGACCACACCGAACAAAAAACGGACTGGACAAGGGCAAAGACGACGAGGTAACAACAAAACAAAATAAAACAAACAAAAAAAAACGCCACATAGAAAGGAAGCAAGGGACAAGCCTCATCACTCATTTGAAAGACCCATAGCAGCAAAGTATTCCCCGGCCTCATCTGGCCGTTCCTGCAAATTCACATTCTGTGACTTCCCCAGGGTCTCAGCGAAGTCGAAATCCGCGGCGCCCAGCAGATCCTCCACTTGCTCCATTCGCCCCGACATAAACGGCAGCTCTGCTGCGTGGCACACCTGCTGCACAGTACGGCCCGAGGACGGTGGATACAGCACCACAACGTGACCTTCAGCCCCCATTCGGCCAGTCCGCCCTGCACAGTGCACAAAGGCCGCTGCAGGTGGGCACTCACCGTAAAGGATAACATGCGTGACACCACTGACATGGATTCCGCGGCTCAGTTCGTGGCTCCCCACACCCACCAACAGATTGCCGGTGTTCAGCTTCTCCAATGAACTATCATCCTTCACGTACACGTCACGTAACCCTGCCACAATAGGCCCACATCGACCACCTGTCGTGCCCCCAAGCGACTGTAAAGGTGCCGCAAGAATTCTGTTAGAGTCTTTTTGCAACCATCCAAGCAATTCCCGACAACGCTGCGGTAATGTACACAAAAAATTAACCACCTCCTCCACTGCCTCAAGTGATGTAAAAAGAAGAACTCGAGGCCGTTTTTCTTGTTTGCATATAAGCTGGAGGATTAGTTCTAAACAGCGGGGTAGTGGATGCCTCGGCGAGGCCGAAAAAAAGTAAAAGTTAATTGTCTGAGGGATTGTGTGCTCCACAAAACTCGTCGTCAGACGTATCGCCTTGTCGTTCCGCATCCACGTATTGAGGGCCTGCGCCGTACGGCCGTCAATCGTGGCACTTGCCGCAATCAACTGTGCCGGCACCTCCTCTGGGCGACTGCGGAAAAGACGATCCACCAAACTACTCCCACTTATTGTGTGACGCCCAAACTGCACCTCGGAAGCCAAAATAATATCGGCCTCGTCCAGAATAACGCAGTCCACCTTACGGCGGAGCTTCTCACCCAGGATTGTGGGACTGAGTCTCAAGACATCAGCAATACGCTGCGGTGTGCCAACCAACACATGTGGCTGGATGTTGTGCAGCCGCGCCAGCTGCGTCTCCATCGGAACCCGCTCGATTGCTACTTGCGCCACCTGCGAAGTGGCTCCCCCAAAGTGACGCAGCCACTTTTCGTACTGCAGCGCCAGCTCCTCCGTTGGAACAATGATGACCGTGTGGAGACGGTAGTTAATCTTCTGCCGAATGATTCGATTAGCGCAGGCGAGCGCGATGCCAAAGCTCTTTCCAGTTCCTGTTTCGGCATGTGCAATGACATGCTTGCCTCTAAGCAACATCGGTATCAACGCCCCCTGCAGCTCCGTAAGTCGCCGGATTCGCAGTTTATTCAGCGCGACGACGAGAGAGACGCACAGCCCGGCCGCCCGAGGCGAGGCCTGGGAGTAATAAAGGGGATGCGCCTCGTTGTGGTTGGAGATGTTTCCTGCCGTCGAGGTCAATACCTGGGCGGAGCCAAGACGCAGCTGAATCATCTGGTGCTTCTGCGAGGTCGACGCGTCACTCTGCTCCCGCCGCTTGTAGAAATACTTCTGTGACGCCGGCAGGTTGGCAGCGTGCGTCTCCGCCCCCTGCTGCAGATAGCCCTTCAACAGAGTAGCCACCGAGCCGCCGTACGCCACCTTCGACGCCCGCAAATATTTAAGCCGCCACACCCAACACAACTTCATGCGGCGCCGATTTTCCACCAGAACACGACAGCAGATACTCGGAACAAAACATTTGAAACGCAAAACGGAAAAAAAAAGAGAAACAAATGCAAACAGACAACAAAACACTCATGAAGCAAAAGCAACACAACTAAAAAACTATGCGCCACCAAACACACGAAAATCAAAAAACAAAATAGAAACCACGGATAAAAAAAAAACGAAAGAAACGAGGGAAGAAACACCGACAACCTCACCACCCGCACGCTCGATGTCACAGAGGCCGGCATTGACCCCAGAGCAATGGAAAAAAGAAAAGATAAAAGACGCCCTATAAAATAAAAAAGAAAAAATTAAAAGGAGTCACAGGGCTCCCACGCAAGATAGAAGGGAAAAACGTATCTCATTCCGCCCCCAACACTCAGTAAACTGCAACACACGCCAACACCGCCAGCGGTAGCAGGAACGACACACGCAACCAAGCAGGTCCTCTGAAACTGCCATCGGCTCCACGAGCAGATTTGCCTGCAGCATGCGCAGCACGCGGAGCGCTCCTGCCTGTTGGACCAGGACTCTGAGTGGAGCCATTTTCGCGCCCCTGCGATTGCTCAGCCACAGGGGAAGCCGGTGCCCCAGGTTCCGGAGAGGCAGAAGCTGGCCGTTTCTGGCGCTTCGGATGACTCGTTCCTGGTGATTGCAGTTCCTCAGAAAGTTCACCAAGAAAGGTATTCATTTCTTCTTCAACACAAAGGTCACCATCATCATCTTCTGCATCCCCGTCCCCTGAACTTTTACAAATTTCCTCGAACAGATCACATTGCATCTTTTCCTCTGAATTACCTTTGTTGCACTGCCGCCACT